AGATCAGTTTAACGATTAGCTAACAGTCTACCTGGTGTTTGTGTTTTACCTGGTGTAGCGTGTTGTTTTAGTGTTTTTATTGTTTGTGTGTGGGACATCTTTTATGTCTGAGACTCAGTACATGGACTATGGGCTCGTTGGTACAGTTTTATGCACTGTTTTTTTGTGATAAAGTTATCGTTGGCGTTTATCAGTCATGAGGTGGCCGGACATCACGGTGGACCCGCCAAGTCCGGGAGTCACACCACCTTCAGTCGTGAACTCCTTCTTTCTCTGAGGACCTTCACTGATGGAGGGGTACCGGCGGGAATACTGGCTGAACTGTACACCTTGCACAGCTTGGATAAAATCCCCTTTCACTGGGCCACCCGAAGGAAAAGAGAAAGGAGAGGAGCCTCAGCCTGGACACCCGCCATCGGCTTCCCCCGCTGCCTACGGTCCTGCTTTCAAACATGCAGTCCATCAGGAACAAGGTGGATGACCTGGAAGCGTGGGCCAAATTCAAACCTTAAGTTCGGGAAACATGTCTGCTAGCATTCACTGGGACATGGCTCAGTGAAACGGACCAAGATGAGGACCTCGCTATAAGTGGGTTTGGCAGTCCACTTCGAGACGCGAAGACACGAGATCACAGGGAAGAGCCGAGGAAGGGGAGTGTGTCTTTTGTCAACCAGAGGTACACCGTTGTGGTCCGGGAAAAGTTATGTACTCCTGATATTGAACTGTTGTCTGTCTCACTCCGCCCTCACTATTTGCCTCGGGAATTTCAACAACTGTTTTTCACGCTTGTTTACATTCATCCACGAGCCAGCGCAGCCACAGCGGCACAGCTGATCGCGGATGTCACACACAGACTAAACTCCATTTGTCCTGATGCTCCAGAGTTTATCCTTGGTGATTTTAATCACTGCACTTTGACCATGACTCTGAAAACTTATGAACAATATGTGTCTTGTGCCATCACTCCACGATTGATCTGTGTTATGGCACTGTAAGCAGTGCTTATAAATCCCTGCCCATGCCTTTTCTTGGTGCGCCCTACCACAACTGTGTGTTTTTAATGCCTGTGTATAAGCCTGCCCTCAGACGTCTTGAGCGTGGAGAAAAGGAAGTGAAAATGTGGTGGGAGGACAGTGTTTCATCTCTCCAGGCCTGTTTTGACTGCACGGATTGGGATTGTTTTTATGATAGCTGTGGGGAGATTGATGAACTCTGTGATACTGTTTCCGCCTACATCTCCTTTTGTGTGAACTCTATTATCCCATCAAAAAAGGTTGTTGTTTATCCCAACAACAAACCATGGGTAACCAAGGAACTCAAAACTGCTATCAACAAAAAGAAAAGGACCTTCTTCACAGGTGATCTTCTTGAGAAAAGGGCTCTCTCCAGGGAAGTGAGGAGGGAAATAACAAAGGCGAAACTAAACTATAAGAACAAAATTGAAATGCAGTTGGAGGTGGTAATATCAGAGCAGCTTGGCAAGGACTTAAATCAATAGCCTGTATTAACAAGCAGGTAGAGGAGTCCAAGTCACATAGTAGTAGATGCTGATTTACCAAGTACTTTCAATTGTTTTTCTCGTTTTGAAAGATGTGATTTTACTCAGAATGTTTCTATGTTGAAGGATTCTCTTGTACCCCAGAATTTCGTGATATGCAAAGATCAGGTTGCAGCTTTGTTGAAGAAAACCAACATAAAGAAGGCTGCTGGCCCTGATGCTGTCTGTGGGCACACATTGAGGTACTGTGCCAACCAGCTCAGAGTTTTTTCTACACTCTTACAGATGTGTGCCAGTCACTGTCAGCTTCCTTCAATCTGGAAGAGATCAATAATAATTACAAAAAATCCTGGGAAACTAGCTGAGTTTAGGCCTGTTGCTCTCACATCACTTATTGAGAAAATCCTGAAGGATGAGATTGTCTCTTTAGTGTGTGACAAACTAGACCCCTTACAGTTGGACCATGGTAGTGCCCTGCGAGATTTTGTTAACTGGTGTGATGAAAACTTCCTTGACCTTAATGTGGAAAAAACAAAGGAGCTTGTCATTGATTTTAGGAAAAACTGTGTAAAACCTAAGGCAAGCTCGATCCATGTGAGAGAGGTCGAAATTGTTGAAATTTACAAGTACTTAGGTTCTGTGTTCGATTCCCAGTTAAAGTTTGATAAAAACACTTAATGTATTGTCAAACGAGGCCAGCAAAGAACGCACTTACTAAGGAAGTTGAACTCTTTTAATATCTGCAACAGAATCTTGTGTAAGTTTTATCAGTCTTTTATTGAGAGCATTTTAACTTTCTCCTTTATCTGCTGGTTTGGTGGCCTGTCTGTAAAAGACAAACAGCCTTTACAGTATTGTAAAGGTCTGCTCTAAAGTAATTGATGTCCAGCAGAGGGATTTGAGTTCTTTGTGGGAGACGCAGGTGGTCTCAACATGGCCACATCCTGTCCTCTGAGTTCATGGTGATGCCTTCAGGCCACCACTTTGTAGCACCTATCAGGATAGGTATGTCAAATCTTTCATTCCATCTGCCATAAGGCTTTTAAACCTAGATGGTGGTAGTAATTTGGAATGAAAATATAACCATTATTTGTATTCCTGTAACTTGACGTGCAATGCATCTCTGTATGCCCACTTATTTATTATTTTTTTATGTTATTTAATTGTGCCACTCTGCCATTCAGTGTGCAGTAGTGTAAGTGCCACTGACTATCTCTCTTTTTAATCCTTGTTGTAACCGTAGCTATGCGCTGATCAGTTGTCCCTGACATAATGTCGTGCTCCTGTCTGTCTGCTGCTTGTTGTCATTTTCGTCATTGTCATTGTTTCATGTACTGTACAGTGACTGCTTGAACTGAATTGCCCCTTTGGGGACTAATAAAGTAGTCTGAACTGAACTGAACAGTGATATTCATTATCTTGTTATAATTTGTACTGTATGCACATTTTCTTTTTCATATTATTTTTAACCAAATTTCACCAAAATATTTGACAATATACCTGAAGTCATCTGAAATCAGAGTAATGATGAGATTTTTTTCAGAATTTTATCATCAACGCTTTAACTGTTACTGATATCTCATTGCTTTTTGAAGATATTAACCGAAGACCTTTAAAGGGGGCATGGCTCAGCAAATGTCTCCACAACGTTTGGGCCTATCATCACAAACCTTGCAAGCAATGTCTTAAGAGGTACCAGAAACATATCCTAAAAGTTTCATAAATGTTTACCACTAGGGGCACCACAAATGCAAAAACAAATGGGCACACAATAACACAAATTTGATTATAAATCATAAATTGATTGTACAATCATTACCGAACTTGCAGGGTATGTTGAATGATAAATATGAACCATGTGTATTAAATTATTTTAAAACTGGTGAGCAGGGGCGTCACAAGTTCCAAACAAGTGCAATGGCCTTTCACAAAATTTGACCATAATCAATAAGGGTTTTTTCAGACATCAAAAAACTTGGTGGACTTTTTATTAAAACCATTAAAGCATGTTCCCATAATGTTTTTGCAGTTGACCAATAGGAAGCAACAGAGGGCCGAATTCACAAAAGGATTGCGTGGCTTTTGCGGCTGCTAAACTGGTAAAAATGGAGCAAACACATACCTTCTTATTCACAAAACACGCGCAGAGGGTGAAATGCTCCACTAACTGCACTGCCAAGCAGATTGTGTCTCAGTGCTCCGGTGTTATTTGCACGTATTTAAATGAGGTAATATGCATATATTTGGCGGAAAAATTGCCCCTTTCTATGCAAATGAGCCTCATTGATAAACAACGTCTAATTCACTAACACTAGCGCTAATAGCCACACGCAGTTTGAGTGAAGTAAATAACGTCTTTAGAAAGCTGGTGCAAACTGGGCGCTCCTCTGTGGAAGCCTCTCGCCCAGACTTTACAGTGATCGTGGCAGCAGTGATCGTCTGTTAAATCAGTCTGTAAATAATATTTTGACATTATTATTATAATCATTATTACTTTAATGGCATCCGAAGATACTGATGCGTTGAACAGGTGACAGTCTGCGGTCGTTCTCCAAATGCACTTCTGTCACGCACTTCAAAAGCAACTTTCAATAATTTATTTTACAAAACGGGGGAAACAAACTTGAACAAAAATGGTTCCATAATTCATATTAAATTCAAAAGATAACGAAAAAACAGCTACAAGTGAGAGGGAATAGTGATAAAGTGGTCAAACTTGGTCAAATCCACAGCCTCACCCCATCCGACACTGTTAGACTGACTCACCAGCAGACATCACTACATGAGGGTATACAGTATTCAGTGCTTTGCCAAACAAAGTCTGCCATTGTTCTGCCATGGTGTTCTTGGTGCAAAGCCAGCATTTATACTTTGCCATGTGTGGCTTATTGCAATCAGGGGCAAATCAGGGGCAAACTGCACTCAGCTGCCAAACTTATATAGTATATCATTAGCGCAATATCCTTTGTGAATAGGACGTTAAGACGGAGCAAACTGCGGGTGCAAATGAAGTGCAATTCAAGGCGCTATCAGCGGCCGCAGTTCATTCTTTGTGAATTCGGCCCAGAGTTTCCAAAGGAGAGTGTGGCCTGGTAGAGATTTGGACATAAATGATCAAGCATCTGATTGTCACAAAACAGGCTTGAACCCCGGGATTGCTGTTTGCGGCTATATTTAATGTTTAAATTTATAAAGGTTATTGTTCTTTGTAAATATGCAACACATTTTCAAAAAGTTTAGACAGGAGCAACAAAAGACTTGGAAAGTTGTGGAATGCTCAAAAACACCTGGAACATTCCACAGGTAAGAGCTGATATTGGCAAGTATCGGCAGATACTCAATAATAAATAGATACAATAGATACTCGGATCATCACAACTATCAGGACACCCCTACTGTACAAGCTATACATCCTAAACAATGCCAAACCAAATGCCATAGATGCTACAATTGTGGGATTTTTTTTTTAATGTTAGGTACTGACTTGTGCATGTTGCTCTAGATAATCATGACATCATCTCCATGAAGTTGTACCAGCTGACAGTAGAGAGGACTCCTGAGGAAGAGGAGGAGGAAGAGGTCACTCTCCCTAGAGTTGACAACATGGAACAGTTCCAAGGTAGATGCACCATGGCCCACTCCACTCTGTTGGCGTTAAAGTAATTGATTCTTTGTCACAACATTGGATCTTAGGAATGGATAAAGTACTACTAATAATAAGAATTTTATATGTAAATCACTGTTCATATCAAGTGCAACTCAAAGTGCTTTACATTAAAAAATATGAAAATACACATAAACAGGGTAAGATAGAGGAAAGAAGATTTGATCACACACACACACACACACACACACACACACACACACACACACACACACGTACATTAAAATATGAATTATGTTTATATCAATTAATTGAATAAAAGCTACAAAAATGCAAGTCTAAAAAGATAGGTTTTAAGATTTCATTTGAAGCTGTCTACTGAATCAGAGTGTCTGGCATCCTCTGGAAGGCTGTTCCGGAGACGAGGGCCAATGACACAGAATGCAGCATCACCATGCTTTTTACTTCTACTCTGGGGGACACTTAGTAGACCAGAGGTGGAAGATCTTAGGGATCTGGAGGGAATGTATTTGACCAACCTATTGGATAAATAGTGAGGAGCCAGACCATTAAGAGATTTAAAAACTAAAAGCAAAATTTTAAAATGAATACTAAAATGTACGGGGAGCCAATGAAGGGACTTAAAACCCAGAGAAACGTGTTCTCGATGTTTTTTCTTGGTGAGTAGACATGCTGCTGCATTTTGGATTATCTGCACTTTGTTTATAGATTTCTTGGAGAGGCCTGAGAACAAGGCATTACAGTTGTCAGCTGGAGATAAAAGCATGAACAAGTTCTTTGGTGTCTTCTTTAGATAAAAGAGGTTGCACATGGGTGATGTTTCTAAGATTAAAAAAAATGCAATGCAAGTTTCTTACTTGGGGTTCAAAACACAGATCACAATCAAATATGACACCAAGGTTCTTTTACCTCATGCTTTTTTTTCACAGCCAGCTTTTGTAAATGACTATTAAATTGAAAATGCTTTTCCTACGATCCCATGAATAGAACCTCGGTAAGAATTTAGAACATCCACATATAAATTTGGTTTTTCAGTTGGGCTTGTATCATCTGAAGAGAATGATATGTATAGCTGAGTATCTTAAGCATATGAGAGGAAATCAGTTTGATGCTCTCTAATAATATTTCCCAGTGGTAACATATACAGATTAAAAAGAGTGGGTCCAAGAATGACCTCAGTTTTGGAAAACAGTGACTCACGCAGGGACACAACATAGTCTCTTCCTGTCAGATAGGATTTAAACCAGGTTAGAATTGAGCCTGAAATGTTTAGATTGGTTTGGAGCCGTTTTAGAAGGATGCTGTGATCAATGGTATCGAAAGCTGCACTTAACTCAAGAAGGACAAGAACAAAAGTCTTTCCCTCATCGAGTTCCATTCAAAGATCATTCTCAGAGATGCGGTGTGAATTCAAATAACTGTTAAGCAGCAGGTACACTAGCTTTTCTATGATCTTACTCATAAAAGGTAGATTAGAAATGGGCCAGAAGTTGCTTAAGACCAGAGGGTCTGCACTAGAATTATCAATCAATCAATCAATCAATCAATCTTATTTAAAAAGCCCAATATCACAAATCACAATTTGCCTCACAGGGCTTTACAGCATACGACATCCCTCTGTCCTTAGGACCCTCACAGCGGATAAGGAAAAACTCCCCCAAAAAAACCCTTTAAAGGGGGAAAAAAAAGGTAGAAACCTTAGGAAGAGCAACTGAGGAGGGATCCCTCTTCCAGGACGGACAGACGTGCAACAGATGTCGTACAGAACAAATCAGCATAATAAATTAACAGTAATCCTTATGACACAATGAGACAGAAAGAGAGACAGAGACAGACAGAGAGAGATGCAGGACAGACAGTAATGACAGTAGCCTACAACAACATTAATGAAAGTAATGATATTATAATAATATTATTGGGCTCAAAAGGGTGACGTAGCGGAGGTGGAAAAACCGCAATGCATTGTGGGCTTTGCGGGCAATTGGAAAGTTTACATTTCGCAACACTACGCTTGTGTTCTGTTGTTGTTGTTATTTTAGAATTTTAAAAGTAACTGTATTGTTTGTAAATGGTGCAGACTTGCTGTGTCATTAACTGCCACAATCGTTCTCACGATCGCTACGGGAAGATCGATGGGCTATATAATGTGGTATATTTTGATAGCAAAAACTGAATTAGAACTAGGGACAAATCTAACACAGCTGTGCAGTCAGGACTTTTAATCCCGTTTTTAAAAAAAGAAAAAAAGTACACATCTTGATGTCACTAAAAACATTGTTTCTCATTGTCTCCACAGGAGTAAACTTGTCCTAAATTGTGGTTGAGAAGTGAAAGTTAATAATAAAGATAAACTCCATGTTGTGCCCACCCATGTATAACGATGGAGAGTTAGAGATTTATGGTGTGAAAATCCCCTAATTCTGAAATAAATAACCGAGAAGCCCATACATATTTACCACATAAATGCAGAGTGGATTTCAGGCTTCAAAATATATTTTGTTTGAAATAAATTGGTCCAGCAGACACCAAGATATGTTAGTCAAAACCTGAGCAAGCAAACAGGCAGCACCACACGGAGGTGGGACACAGTGAGGCTTCTAAAGTTTACATACCTCTGAAATGACGACGGTCTTCTCTTTAATTAAGAGGTCCTGTACCCACCCAAAGCTTGCTTGCCCATGAGCCCTGAAAGATTAGGCATTCCTTCAGTCAACGGCAGCAGGGCTTTTAAATCCCGAGTCCAGTCTCCGTGCTCATACGATCCACTCCACCTATTTTCTGGATTTTGTCAAGGTACCAAGCCTTTGGAACAGGGTCCAGCTTGTCTCGGTACCGTCCGGCACACTTTTCCTTTGCCCGGTCCATTTAAATCTCTCGCTTCACGTCTCTCTCCCAGCGCAATGCAATGTAAACAAAAGAATTTGCCTGTAAAAATGGCGTTGGTTACACACAATGCATTGCGAAGTCACGTGCCCTCTTGAGCCCTATAATTATAAATTAAAAAAAGTATACATATGTGACAATAATCATATGTGTATAATAACAGTAGAAGTATGACTAATGATAACAGCAGCAGCAGGAGGCATCTGGCAGGACCACGGCAGCAGCACAACCACACACGTCACACTATCCAGGCACCGCTGCGATATGAGTTAACCTGTGAGACAGTGGAGCACAAAGGCTCCGGAGAAGAAGGCAAGTTAGTGACATGCAGTATGGCCGAGTTAGCAAGATCTAGTAACAGGACATGAGAGAGAGAGAGAGAGAGAGAGAGGGACACAGAGAGACACAGAGGGAGAGCCCGGTGTATTATAGGAGGTCCCCCGGCAGACTTAGGCCTAAGTCAACCTAACGAGGGGCTGGTACAAGGCAAGCCTGAGCCCTAACTATAAGCTTTATCAAAGAGGAAAGTCTTAAGTCTAGTCTTAAATGTGGAGACGGTGTCTGCCTCCCGGACCGCAACAGGAAGATGATTCCACAGGAGAGGAGCCTGATAGCTGAAGACTCTGGCTCCTGATCTACTTTTGGAGACTTTAGGGACCACGAGTAACCCTGCATTCTCAGAGCGCAGTGTTCTGGTGGGATAATATGGCACTATGAGCTCTCTAAGATATGACAGAGCCTGACCATTTAGAGCTTTATAAGTTAACAGTAGGATTTTAAATTCAATTCTGGATTTTACAGGGAGCCAGTGCAGAGAAGCTAAAACAGGAGAAATATGATCTCATTTCTAGTTCCTGTTAGTACACGTGCCGCTGCATTCTGAAGACTTTAAAGACTTATTAGAGCTACCTGATAATGGGGAGTCACAGTAATCCAGCCTAGAGGTAACAAAAGCATGGACCAATTTTTTTGCATCTTTTCGGGTCAGGATAGGCCTAATTTTCGCAATGTTACACAGATGAAAAAATGCAGTCTGTGAGGTTTGTTTTAAATGAGAATTAAAAGACAAATCTTGATCAAATATTACTTCTTACGGTAGTGCTAGAGGCCAGAGCAATGCCATCTAGAGAAACTATGTCATCAGATAAAGAGTCTCCAAGTTGTTTGGGACCAAGAACAATAACTTCAGTTTTGTCTGAATTTAACATAAGGAAATTGGTGCTCATCCAGGTTTTTATGTCTTTAAGGCAGTTATGAAGTTTAGTTAATTGATTACTTTCTTCTGGCTTCATCGATAAATACAACTGTGTATCAACCACATAACAATGGAAATTTACAGAGTGATTTCTAATGATGTTACCCAAAGGAAGCATATATAGATTAAATAGGATTGGTCCGAGCACAGAACCTTGCGGAACTCCAAAACAAACTTTAGTACGTAAGCATGATTCATCATGAACATGAACAAACTGAAAACGATCAGATAAATAAGATTTAAACCAGCTTAGTGCAGAACCTTTTAGGCCAATTAAGTGTTCCAGTACAGAGACGAGTCCTTTGTCTGAAGCAATCAGAAGATCATCTGTAATTTTAACTAGTGCTGTCTCAGTGCTATGATGCACTCTAAATCCTGACTGAAATTCCTCAAATAAATTATTATCATGGAGAAAATCACACAGCTGGTCTGCGACTACTTTCTCAAGGGTCTTTGAAAGAAAGGGAGGATTATATATTGGTCTATAAGTTGGCTAACACCTCTGGATCCAGGGTGGGCTTTTTTAGGAGAGGTTTAATTACAGCTACCTTAAAAGACTGTGGTACATAGCCTGTTAATAAAGATATATTGATCATGTCTAATAAGTGAGTGTTAACTAAAGGTAAGACTTCCTTAAGTAGCCTAGTTGGGATGGGATCTAAGAGACATATTGATGATTTAGATGAAAAAATCACTGTGGTCAATTCTTGAAGAGAAATTGGGGAGAAACAATCTAAATATATATTAGGTCTTACAGCTGTGTTTGAGGGCAGATAGGTACTATCTGAGGACAGGAGGTCATGAATTTTGCCTCTAATAGTTAGAATTTTGTCATTAAAAAAGCTCATAAAATCAT